AAAAGTACATGTACATCAAAAATTACATCCTTGACATAAACACTAAGTTTTATGAACCCTAAGTAACATTAACAGTGTCATAAAATAAACTGCAGGCATTGCATGTAAACATTGATCAAATCGTATTACTTCAAATTAGAGGCATTAAGGTGTTAGCGTGCTCATTTATCCCCCTCTGCGCCGGTAACAGTGGAAAGAATGCACTAAAAATTTACCTCTTTAACTTCCAGTAACAACAGTTTTTAACATCATTATTTTTTCAAAGTAACCATTTAGCAACAACATGGAAAGGTAACAATTCCTTTTATAACCCACAAACAAAATAATCTGTAATTTTCACAGGCATTAAAGAGTATTCCGCTAGCTTATTGTGGTTAATTACCCTATTAGCATACGAATACAGCAGTCTCACATTAGCTTTACACAATTAGCACCTTTGCATAGCTTCACCGATTAGCATAAATGCTAGCGAACTCCCAGTAAACTCAGCAGGCTAGATTAAATACAAATGGGCCTCAAAAGCCTGTCCTGTTAACATGGACGCTAGCGAACTCAAAGGCCTAGCGCAAGGTAAACAACTCACCGTTTTAGCGGAATTCACCGCCTTTAGCTCCGTGACAACAGTGGATTCAGGCACAGCTCTCATTTACTCTCTATATTAAATCAGGGTATAGTCAGTATAAGCGATAATGATCACAGAATTTGTTTAATTCACTCCATGTCGTTTCTCGTCTTACCGAGGGGATAACGCAGCCTCCTACGCTCAGGTACAGGCGCCAAAAGAAGGTGCAGAGACCGAGAGGCGTAATTGTAACGGAACATAGCTGGCAGCTGATTGGTCAGCTCACTGCATCATAACGTCCACCCATTTGCTAACTTACAAGCCCATCAAAGATGCTGAGAAAAATAAAAGGTAACCCTTAGTGACTTGGTCAGACAGCTAAATAGTGTTTCTCATTATTAAGCCTGGGCTACAATGGCATTTGTTGGACTTGCTCATATGATCACACTACTTGTATCTTTATTCCACAAAAATAGCTGAATCATATACAGTAGTACTTACGTAGGAACTTAAAAAGTTGCATGGTCTAGAGAACCTCTTAAAGAATGATTAGACCCTGAAAAAACAGGACAGAGAGGAACAACGATTAGATAAATATTAAAATCTATTAAGGACAGATTGTGATTGAATTGTATCACCAAAGACTATTTACTCACTGCATCACTAAAAAGTCAACCACAACACTTCCACAGCAGCAACACTGAACATATCTTAACATATGGAAACCTTTAAGAAGAGAAAGGACAGACAGCGAAGGGTGAGAAAGACTTGCACTTAATGGATTTTTTTAGACGATGACACTACTGGTATGTTTACTCTAGAGAAATGGTTGAATCATATTCTATATAGTACTTACTTAAAATGAACCCACTTCAGGCTTCCAAAATTGACTGACTGAGTCTGAAACGAAACAATGACAGATTAAGGCTGTAAGAAAACTCTCATATTTATATTATCTAATATTTATTCTATCTACTGTCTTATGCATTAAAACCTATTAAGATGGACACATTCTAAGCATTTTCTGAGCACGTGACTTGTTTGAAGTGAAGATAGACACAAAACCTATTCATTTGACTGTACTTTTAGGCAATAACAATAAAGTTGAATTTAATCTTAACTGAAACATAATTAGGAATGTTTTGATAATTTTATTTCACCCCACCAGGTTACAACAGCAGCTTTCTCAGCAGGTCACTCTTCTCAGCTACCCTGTCAATGACCATGTCGGAGTCCAATGACATGAGAATGTCCTTTTCAGTGGCCATCAGCATAAACATCTCAAGCCTGTTTCCAGACAGGCTGCTTCGGAGTCTGCTTTTAATGAACTTGAGTGTAGAGAATGTTCTTTCACAGGCAACCTGAGTGAGAGAGAGGGTCAGCAGGTACTTGTATGCCAGCCCAAGGAGACAGTAGGCATCAGACAGCATGTTGAACCGCCTGAGAATTTGATAGCAGCACAGTGGGCAATTTTTGCAAGAATCACAGCTTTTGGTCACAATTTCACTTTCTTCGTCCCATTCTTCAGATCTGTCCTTTGCTGTTCTGGTCCTGTAGTCATCTACATGTGATGTCTTAAGCCTTTCCCACTGTCCTGCAAAACTTTTCAGTTCTGACTGAAGGTTATTTACTGTAGCCCTGCTGTCAAATTTGAGGAGACATGTGCTGAGGTTTTGAAGTGCATTACTAGGAAGAGAAACTGTTCTGACCTGGCTAAACTTCCTGGGGTCCAACCATGCCAAATCCGCAACAAGAGGGCCATTTGTGACAAATCGTCTGTGGATTGCTTCAATAACTGTGTCCAGGATGGTGGTGTTGTTTTCTCAGCATTGATTTGCAACTCATCTTCAGTCATCTCTCCGGCCATGCGTTTTCTCTTCTTGGCTCTCTTTACAGGTAGTGCAGCCTCCACTTCCATGTCTGTGTTGTCCTCCCTCTCCTCGAGTTTCTGATTTGTCTGTTTCACAAATGTGTCTGCAGCTGCCTTCACAGTTGGGAAGTCCCTGGCGATACTTTTGAGGCTATCTTGTGGCAGTCACCATATGATGGCCATGGCATTCCCAATGCACATGGCCTTGTCCAGATTCAGATGCTCTAAAACTCCAGAAAGCAAGTTTACAAAGTACTGCCCCGTGGATGCTTCGCACCTCACTATGGAGACAAGCCTCTCCTGCACAGCCTCAGTAACATACCTGATAATTACTGAACACTGATCATAACCTGTGATGTCTTGGGTTGTGTCCAGCTGAACAGAGAACATCCCAGCTCTCTGGACATCACTGGTGATGCTCTCTTGAATGAAATGGCCAATTGCATCAATCACTGAGTTGACAGTTGTCTTGGAGAGTAGGGTGACGAGAGACCCTCTACCTCTTGATCCACTGGACTGATACAACTTCTTGCTTTTCTCAATGCAGTCATTCAAATGTTCTCTAAGG